AGTTCATATATGTGTCTTTGTATTCAATATGTATACACACAAAAGTGTATATCTCCGTATTTTTGTTTGGTATTGTATAAATGAAATGCAGCCTTAATGACCCGCGTACAGCCGAAAAGCTTTAAACCTAACAAGCCAACCAATCACTGTAAATCTGATAACTTTCAGCATCGAAGAGGGCTACGGGCCACTCTTTGTAAAATAAAATTGTTTACAGTGATCTTGTGATCTTAAGGCCAAACTAAGAAATAAATACAATGAATTCTTTGCCAAGCTTTTAACTGAACCATTGAGCTCGTCATCATATGGTAAAGACTCGCAAAGTGATTTATTTTTTTACCACTGACGAGCAAAATATTAGCAATAAATCTGCGTTGGTACGATAACGCACAGCGGCAGGCGACACTATGTTATTTCCTGACGAACCAAATACCAAGACCAACCTTTAGTGGTCATTATTTCGTATAAGAATAAAGCTCACTCTTATGCGAGACAATGTCCGCTAGAAGCTTGTCTTGGTGGTCCTATGTCTTCGTCAGGAAACAGTAGAGTGCCTCCTGACACGGGTCATCAGACGTAACCAGTTACAGTAATCATATTTTCAACCAGTGTGTTTTTGTTTCATCAGATTTTTTTAAAATCTCTTTCTCTTGGTGCAATGCTCATGAACAAATCAAAATAATTCATGTCATGCGCTAAGCCTATGTGGGCGATTCAGCGTAAGACGAGTGCAGGCTTCATACTCCGTCTGCTGAGTGCGAGACGTGCACTCTCACATCTCCCTAGTCGGAATTCATTAGTTCGAAACCTAAGCAATGAATTCCGTCGCAGTCTCTCGGCTGTGGGACGTCACTATATTCTAACAGTTCTCACAAGTATACACAGTGAGAGGTGTACACCTCTCACTGTGTAAACTTCAGATATGTATACCTCAGGTGTATACCTCAGTGCATATATGCTGAAAGTTTTATTAATTCCCTATTGTAGCGAATAAAGTATTCTTGACTTGCAGTGTACAGGTGACAAGTAGATTTCATGACCCTCGTTTCATCGACTGATTTTTTTTACTTTATAAACCAACCATTCTAACAATTCTCAATGCAACTTAAACGATTAAAATCGTTGTAAAAGAACTGTATTGTGCATCCCAACAATTTTTCGTAAAAAAAAGAGCATATTTCAATTTTTCTTCCTAAAATGTATCTTAGTCTAACGATCGTCTCAAAATTATGTTTTTTCAATTAATTTTAAGCTACTAGTTAATGTGTTTAAATCAGAATGACTTTGTAAAGTACGATGATCCAGGATGATGTGTGCAGTCTTAGAGCACTAGTAGGTAGTGATCCTCTGTTCCATATATGTGGTTTGAAACCTAGCTCCGGTGAGCCAGCGGAGACTTAACTATTAAAGGATGATCATTTAACAAAGATTTGTGTCAGGAGACGCAAATGTCTGTTAAACAGAACACCACCACCTGTACGATGTAAAGATAGCAACTATCCTGAAATATCAGCGCCCTTGGTCTTGTCTACTTGTGCCGTTATGTCTTCGAAAATGCATTATGTTTAATGAGTTTAAATGTGTAACCGGACTTCTGGAGGATGGAAATACAGTAACTGCGCTCTGAGTGATGTGTCGTGTTGTTGCGCTCCGGCAGATTATTTAAATTGTGATTACTTGAGGAAAGTATTTGATCAAGTCTCATGTAGGCGAAACGTCTCATTGTCTCCGTTTTCTAATTATATGTGTTCTATTAACCATTTGTCGGATACGCCAAACTTCAACATTTAATGAGTTAAAACGACCTTAATTTGAGTCTCTAGGAAAGCGCAGTTATGCGAGCCTTTTAATTAAACAGTTCTAATACTGATCACTTGTGGCCCTGAACAGCACCCAATATCCCTTTACATATCCTGGAGACTATACTGGTTGAGTGTATATAATAATTATTAAGACATTTATCTTCTCTAACTGTTTTGCACTTTTATCAATAAATTAATTAATATGGCACTTTCTATACTTTTTAATGTCCACGAGTTAACAAAGGAATCGGGCACGATAATAAACTACAGGAAATAAATGAAGGAAATGAGGTTTGATCCTGTTTCGTCCTTCTGTACAAGGCTTGCACCTCGTCTCTCGGGTTTGTCTCTCTGCGTGGTTGTGAAGTGGGATGTGGACACTTAAAAGTTCTGACAGAATAAGTAGGGCGGTGTCTTGCCATGTACAGGGACTGATTATAAATGAAATTTGCTGTAACCAACACTATGTACTGAAAGTTTCTAACCTTCTCTAAGATATTAAAGTTTCTGCTACTTTTTATCATCGAGAAGAAAAACACTTTAAAATTACATATAATATGGGATGTATTTTTTGCACACTATGAGAATGAATAACCTTTTTCGAGAATTATTCTATTGTTAGCCACAAGCCTAATTCTTCTCAATGATCGCTCATTTTCGCGACGTCTGTATGGTAAATGTAAAATGATACATTAAAAAAATGTTTCGTTAACATTTAAAAACTTATTATATAAGCGACAAGTGCATCATTTACATCTGTGGAGCATCAAAAGTATCAGGAACTGATATCTGAAAGATTTGTCCTTCTTTTAATGCAGCTATGACTAAAAGTCAACAGTGTGAACCTAAATTCTGTTGCAATACATCAAGTGGTCTCCCCAGTAAATAAGTTTATCATAATATCTAGAGCATCTTGGTGGAAATATTATCGAGGT